GGTAGTTAATTCATCGTCTGTTGTAATTGTTCCATTGCACAATTCTTTGTAAACACACACTGCACACAGTTTATACCCATCGATTTTTTAATTTATTTTGTTCATATTATAGGTAGTATAAAAAAAATTCTTATTATTATTTTTTTTTTTGTGACTAATCAATCCATATTCGTACTATATATGGATTAAAATACAAAAAAAATTTTATTGTGTACAGTGAATGTGTAGAATAATTGTAGAAATAGTATACCTGTCCTACTATTTACCTATATAACTACATATAAGTATAAAAACATTTTATTGAATAGATTTATCTTAATGACTTTTTGTGTTAAAATTTAGATTATATTATTCTTGAATTTAGAATTTCAGCTCACAACTCCGTTTGGCTGTATAGTGCACGTTAAGTATTTATTACTTACATGTATAGTTTGCATACTATATATTGGACATTACAGAATTGTTCATTAAAAATAAATATTTTAATTGTTAGTAAAATTATGAACCATTAAGAAATCAATAAATATTAATGATTTAAAAAACCTGAAAATCCAATGTCATATAATCAAAATTTTACGGGGATCAAATGTCCTATATTAGCATTGCTAATAAGTAATAACTCTTCGAGACAAAATGTCCTAATGACGTTAAATAATAATCGAGGACGAAAGGCCTGTGGACTGCTTTTTTTGACGAGGACGAAACGGTAAGGGCAACGTCCATTTACCATACTATCTATATTGTCAAATTATAATTTATAATATAATATAACATTTTTTAAATTAAATTCTTATTTTCTTGACATTCTTAGAAGTAAAATTAAATTAAATTTGGCGCCYAATTGTAATACGTCTTTGCATCTATCATAGTTCAGTGTAACCAACAAAACACAAAAATTATGATATGATTTTTTGCGATAATGAATTTTGGGTATTAGGATCTACTCATCAGCAATCTTTATAGGATAGTATGATATTTATTTCATTTTTTATGTTGCTTCCTATTATTCGTTTTAACTAGATAATAACTTATATTTTAATTTAATGCTAGATTTAAATAGCTGTAAATATATAATTTCGACATAATATGATTGATAATGTTTCATTAAACGATTATTTAACATTTTTACACACCTATGGGCCCAAGAATTTTCATGTTTAAGGTAATCTAAAAATAGTGAATAGTTAATGTTAATTTAGGTGGAGTCAGAAACAATAAATATTTAAAAAATAAATATAATTGGAGGCTAATTATGTCTTTCACTAAAATATATTGTAATTTTTGCTGTCTATTCTTTTAKAAAAATCCAATGCCAATCAGTTAGTAGTCAGTTTTTTAACGTAATTCATAAAAATGTCAGATGATGATGACAAGCCACCAGCTCCTCCGGTCCGTCTAACGAGTAACAGGTAATCATAACGATATAATCTATCATTTTGAACTATATACATAATAATAAATTACAGTTTTAGAGTTGCTCGTGGGGATTCGGTACCAAATTTGGATATTATGCGGCCTTTACCAAAAGAACCAGATTCTGACCACAAAAAGAAAACTTCTAAAAGTCGTGTTACTGGTAAACTGAAAACACGGGGTACTGGATCAGAAGATAAACCAGAAATATCTTATCCAACTAATTTTGAACATACTATGCATGTAGGTTTTGACGCACATACGGGCGAGTTTACAGTAAGTTATTATTTTTAAAGTTAATATATGGTTGTATGAATAAAAAAAAGCTAATGTATGGTTTAAATTGCACATTTAATTTAACATTTTGCTAAGATATGCTTTGCTATGTAGTCAAATTGAAAAATATAAATATTAGCAAAACTAGAACTAATTTGACATTTTAAATTTATGTTGGATGTTTTTCTTAAAATACAAATGTCTTACAAAATATTTATTGATATATTGCTGTTGAAAAGCTTTAAATTATCATAACTTTCATTTCAAAACTGATTGTCAATTTAAAATAATCCCAATTAATGAAGTTTAAAAAAAAAATTGTTATAACATCATGAGTAATTTCTCATAATATTTTAAAGACTCCTGTAAACTGATTTTGTTATAATTAAACATTAAAATGTATTATAAGGTAACTCAATAAATCTTAAAGGATGCACTACTTTGTCTATGATTTTCCTTACAAATACAAAAAATGCATTAAAATAAAAATAAAAATATTGAGGTTACTATGTTGAGCTATGATTAATAGCTATTAATTATGATTAAAATGAAAACAATAGTAAATTTAATATTTWATATTTTAAAACTCTTAAATATGCAAAACAACATTTAATATTTGGGACCTTTGGCGAATAAAACAAATTTAAAGCTTACTTTTCTTTACATGTATAATGTATTCTGTAATAATAAATAAAT